AGAAAGACGATTGAACTTTTAAGAGAAGTAATTAGCAATAAATACATGCAATGTAACTGACAAACTATTAATAGCAGAAAGTGATAAATGAACAAATAACTACTGCGGTGGAGAGATAGAGCGGAGATAGAGCCGGAGATGGAGGAGAGGAAATAAGATGGGGGGTGGGGTGGGGAGAGAGAGAGAGATGAGCTAGCATTCTACAGGGAGGGAGGAATGGACGTAGAGAGGGAGATAGAGAGGGAATGACAGAGGGAGGGAGAGAGATTTCGGCCAAAAATTGGGCAAAAAAACCCCGAAGAATATAAGGAAGAGTAAAGGCCGGTAGCCCAAACTCATGTCAATGAATTACTACACGCGTGCCAATACGGCACATGAGAGATCATGAAAATGGCATTTAGCGCGCAAGCCGCAAATGTATCAAATTGACAAAACGCGCAATTTGGATCCACGTGTTTCTGTGTATAGGGCGTGAAAAAGTCAAAAAGGGGTAAGTGGGCGTGGCATTTGTGTATACGGCTAGATCGCGCTCGTAACCGTGGGAAATATAAATGTAAACAAAAACATTGAGAAATTGAAGTCATATTATGACCTACAGGTTTGCGTATGATTACAAAAATTCTTTTGGCCGAATTCGACACCAAACTTCTTAGGCTTGATCAATTTTAGTATTTGAAGTAAATTTTCGAGTGATTTTTGTTGTAGAATCTTTGAAGTCTGAATGAATCATGTACGTAGCAGTCTACATGCTTAAAGTGGGCAGGTTGAATTATCATAACTTATACAATGAAAATGCGTAAACAAATGTTGCAGAACATCATAAAAGCTATAAAAAAAACTAAACAAAATATAGAATCATATACAACTTAAGCTTAGATTCTCCATTTCTCTCTACTTTATAATGCTGATGTATTTATAAAAAAATGAACCACTTGGTGTTTAAGATAGAGAGTCTTGATAATAGGCAGTCTAAAGAATTCCAAATAGGCGTGTTGTATTCCTAATTCCTCATGGGGTTTATTTACATGTATTTGCTTCATTAAATGATGTGATATGTTGTCAAATATTGTAATGCTTAGAAAACTTGTAGTTGTACTGTGATTGTTTTTTCTTCATAAAACTGTTCGACCCGGGGCCTACTGGTCGGTAAATGAAAATACATGTGTAACGAAAGAAGAATTTTTGGAAAATATGGTAAAGTGAGTGCATGGAAGAGTGATAAATACAGCCTTGCGAAGAACGACAAGGTGAGATAGATGGGTAGATAGATAGGTGGAGAGAGAGATGTGAGAATGAGAGGAAGAATTAAGGAGAAAGGGAGAGAAACAGAAAGAGGGAGGGGAGAGAGAGAGAGAGAGAGAGAAAGAGAGAGAATAGAGATAGAGAGATAAGAAATAGAGAGAAGGGAGAGAGAGGAACGAGAGAGAGAGAGAGAGAGAGAGAGAAGGACGAGAGAGAGAGAAGAGAGAGGAACGAGATAGAGGAAAACAAGAGAAAGAGAGAGAAAGAAAGAGAGAAGGGGGAACGGAAGGTGGACAGACAGAAAGACAGAAAGAGGGAGATGGATAAGTCTAGAGATTATGGAGGGAGAGAGAGTGGTGGAAGACCGTGAAATAGAGAGACAGAAAGATGGAAAGAGAAAGATTGATAAGAAACTACAGAGGTAGAGAGAGGAGACAAAGAAAAAAATGAGGCAGAGAGAGAGAGAGAGAGAAGAGAGACAGGGGTAGTGGATTGAAATTAAAGACATTCATCACTTGCGCTTCTTGGGAGAATAAAACCTTATTACAAGAATAATAATGGGATTGCTTCGCCTGACATTTAAATGACCCTTTAAGAACCTGGCTTTGAATATAACGGGACCACTTCCAACGACATTCCAAAGCCAAGCACGGTGCTATTATACAATTGACAGAGCGTACCCTAATTACGTATTACAATATCTATTCAATTGTATTACGTAACAGTCAATGCCGGATTGCCAAGTAAGCAGGTGACGTAACAGATTTTGAATACAGGGGTTCAACTAGTTGGGGGAAGTCTTTAATTTGTATGCACTGGCTTTCTGTTCCGTTAGAGTAAATGAGGTACTGTACATGTAAATCTAATTTGTAAATCAATTGTTTTCATTCTCCTTTATCCCCACAGTATTTTTGTTATGTTGATGATACATGTAAGACATTTATGTCCGTCATAAATGTGAAAGCTATTGTTATCAGTCATTAGATTACATCATCATCATCATTGCGTGTTTATATGGCATGATTCACCAAAATAACTAGCCATGTCAACTGTCCTATTATCATAAGAATCATCAATAACGTTATTTCATTCACCATCATCATTAGTGTCAACCTCACGATTAATACGGCGTAGTAAGAATCCAGACACTGAAGGGGGCACCTGTTTATTGGAGAAGGGGGGGGGGGTATACTAGAGAGTAGAGATACTGGATGGATTTAATGCGAGAGGGTAAAAGACCATCGAATGAGGGGATGATCTGGAAGGGGTCGTTATTTGCCCCTTCCCATAACTTTCTTCCCTCCTATTTTCATTTCTTTTCTTCATTCTTTGTGTTTTATTGCTGCTGTTGTTGTTGTTGTTGTTGTTGTTTTTTTTGGGAGGGGGGGGGGCAGTTCATACGATAATGCATGTAAATACCATGTTCATGAAAGGCATATGATCATAATGGCACCATTATCATCATTTCAGTCTCCATAGTAACCAAAATTATCACCCCCATACGCCCTGATTGGCATCCCTCTCTTCCATTACATCATCCTTTTTCATCTGTATTACCCCCCTGCCCCCCTCCCCCTCATTATAACATTTACGCTCATGGGTGGCACGGTTATTATGATGATCAACTTAATTTATCATCATCAGGACCAATGCCATCTCCCTCATTATACTTGGTTTATACATGTACATTATTTCTCGTTCAGACATCCTTATATTATTATTTATCTTTCCTGGAAACGAGTCAGAAAGGAGGAGAGAAATGAAAGGAAAGGAGAGAGAAGAGAAGAGAGAGAGAGAAAGAGAAAGTAAGAAGGAGAGAGAAGGTGTAGAGAGCGAGTGAAGGAGGGTTTATAGATGAAAGATAAAAAGCTTTACGAAGACTATTTCGCATTATGAGGAATCCACAATATATTTTATTCACCCGTAACTGATTGTGTTTTCAATAGCCAAAAAGCCAACTGATAGAATGGTTGGAGAAAGTGAAAATATGAATAAGATAAAAGGCATCGACGTTAAATCCTTTAAATATATAATCCAAATACTACGATTTGCCTTTTGTAAATGTTACATAACATTTCTCTTTTACTCTCGCTTATCTCCCTTCACTTTCACTATCCAATTTCCCCTTTTCTCCTACTTTGAATATAACTGTCACACTATCTCGTCGCCCGCATACCACACCCCCTCCGTACCCTCCACACACGAGTACCTTTACACACAAGTTCACAGTAGGGTCACTAGTAGATAAGCCCCTCATAACCGTCTGCATACCTCGCATTCAAAGACCCTCATGCATATTCATCAACGTCCGCACAAAGGCCCGACCCACGTGACACCCCGGCGCGGGCTTTTTTGTCTAAGCCCGCGACTCTCCCACGCAACGCTCTCCCAAACCCAAACAAACCTCTTGCGGTAACAGCTGTAGGAACCAAACAATGGAACAAAGACTCGTCGACAGGGCATTTAAATTTTCCATGTGATTTTCTTTTTCTTTTAATATTTTTTTTTGTAATAAGCAAAAATTTGGAAACTTCAGTACAAAGCATGAACACCTTTCTTAAGATCATGGTAACAAAAATGTAAATGATTTTGATTACATATTTTTTACTTTTCTTGAAAACAGTATATTTGTAAGAACGAGGACTGCAATGTTTGTAAACATTACTATGAGAATTACTACGTATACATGTATACAAAAACAAATATGCAGGGCTAGAAGTTAGAACGCTGTAAAATGCTAAATAGGAAAAAATCCAACACATTTGGTGATATCAATCTTCTGAAGGTTTAAAATATTGTTGAATAAAAAAAAATCCTTCTCAAATTTCCCAATCCACGAGTAATTTTTTAAAGAATGTATTAGAACTGTTCTTTCTCACTATGAAATGTGTTTTTCCACAGGAAAGAAGGAGATGATTCCCCTGAACGATTATTGAAAATGGGCTTTACTTTATACTTAAAAAACAAGGAAACTTGAGGGATCATTGTACCAGTCGTCAAATACCTGTCAAGGTTACAATACTTATTTGTGAAGTTCAAAAACCTTTGCTACTTTTCAAAGTCTTCTTATAACTAAATATATATCATGTAAATATACATTTTAACACGTATGTACAAAACTTATTCCATAGTCTTTCTTCATAGAACTTTTCAAGTCTCTCCTTTCTGTTATAGATTGTCTCTCTCTCTGTCAATAGAGTTTCTGTTAGAAATACACTATACAAATCTGATTTTATATCCTTTCTTTATCTCTGTTAAACCTTTGTAACTAGATGCCTTTCTGTAAACACTATCTTTCTCGACCCATGTCCATATATAAGCCTTTTCTCTGTATACATCCACTCCTATATATACAACGTCTATATGCTGCCAATCTTATATCATCGATACACTCACCTATTTGCCACCCAATAGCATGTAGCACTCCAAGATGGGCCAAAACTTATCTTGCCAATTTGTCACTTTGAAAATGGGGATACGTTGTTTTAAAAGAAAAAAAATATAAAAATGCACAGTACAGTATGATAAACCAATCCCCACCACATTAATACAATCAGCTAAGCTCAACTACTCCATAGAAGGGTTATACTGTCTTAGTACACATCACACAGACTATATAGTCAGGTGCTAGGCTAGGCATTCACTTTAAAAAAAAATAGCAAAACGGGTTATCAATATCAGTTTTTGTACAAACTTACAAAAAATCATTATCAAAAAGTGGAAGATAGATTTCATCGTCACAATTCAAAAGATAAAACATTTTTTTTAGTAAAAAAAAATAAAAATAAGAGAAACATGTTTCTACCCTTTTTTAACAAAGGGTAGTTGTATCAACTGACATAAAAGGTATAAAATAAAGGCAGTGCTCCTGGGTAAGTGGTCCAAATCCAATACGCTCAAAGAGGTAAAGTGTTCTCTATCGTAGAGTCTTATAGATAGTCATGTCCATGTGTAGCAGGGAACTCTGCCACGCCTAGTCACTTGGCCTCTTCTAATTGTCGCAACCGAAGGAGCAAAGCGTGGTGTCTCCTCTTGAGAGCGTTATGTGTCCTGGTGTGCGACTCTTCGTCAGCGTGGAGATGGTGTACATAGTCCGTGGCTTTCTTGAGGATCACGATCTTGGCTGCACGCTCTTGCGAGGCGAGCTCCGGCACCTGATCGCGGAGCTTGAAGAAACTGGTCCTGAGGTCTTCTCGTCTCCGCCTCTCGAGGACATTATGGTTGGCTCTGCGATCACAATCCTCAGAGTCTGACGAGTCCTGACTGCCGTGTCTGCTGCTCCCGCGACTACTCCCTCTACTGCTGTTCCTGTTGTAGGTTCTCTTTGATAAGCTCTTAGAGTGTTTCGTACTGTTGTTACTGCTTAAGGTGTTCTCCAACACTCGCTTCACATCCTCCAAGCTCACATGCTTTGCAAGGTTTATCTTGTTCAGTTTCTTCAGACCGGTGGTAGTCTTGAGACTGGTCGGTACTTTAGAGAGGATGGATTTGTTTGAGGAACAGCGCTTCACCACTTTGAACATTTGTGCACCATGGCCATGTTTTCGCGAATGTTTCGAGTGGCGTTTGATGATGATTGTTCTTGGTACATTATGTGAGGATGGCGGGCACTTCTTCTCAACTGTTACCACATCGATTTCTTCCTCTGCAAAATCAAAAAGAATGCACAAAAAGAAGGAAAAATTAATATACTGAAATACATCACAAGAACAAGTAAAAAAAATTGTCAATCTTAATATCAATTAAATCAATTGCAATATAATGCATATCAAGTTCTTTTCAAAATCTTGTGTCTATCTTCAACCAAATATTCTCCTATCACATACACCTGTCTGGGCCTCTTTAATAGCATTGCTGCGGTATTGCGCAATACTTATCTCGCACTGGCATGTATAGAATTTGGCGACCATTGTTCAGTTACACTGCGCGCACGCCCAAACACTGCACTGTTACTATACCCACAAAGGGTTTTGGGGAGAAGGTCGGCGAATTCACCATTTTTAAAGAACCCGGAAGTAAACAGTGTTGTGATATGATATAGTAAATACATGTAGGAGAACTTAGGAGAACTTATACTTATAGTACACGAGACAGCACTCAGAAGAACATCATTTTGAATTGTAAATGGACCTCGTACATTACTGTACCAGTTTAGCAATGACATTTATTTGATTTGCTGTTTATATAAATTTCCATCGAAACATGCTACACTTAAATGCAGGCATGCCATTAAAATTAATACAATTTGTGTGCAAGTGGTAGCATCTGGCAAGGTTTAGTATTGAACGCCCAGTCTTTGAACGCCCGACCTTTACTTCAGGGGAGCATTTTCCCGCGGTTCTAGATCAACTAGGCTATGTATGTGTTTCCTAATCAAATATTGCTCTATTCGTCTTCAACATTGTGCAATGTAGTTCCCAACAGCCATTTTGCCGCGCTAGCTGAATACGCACTCAGCCTAGCCGGGCAGCGGGCACAGCGCCAAATTTGAGTTAGGGAGTGAACACCGGTAGAATTGAGTCAGCACCAAGGCAATAGCATTGCACAGGGGTTGGAAAATATTTGTGACTTTTCCATGCCAGAGCGCCGTGATACAATTTCCCCCGTGTATCTTTTGGGATTGGGGTGAATTGCAAGGCAACCGGATGAGTTGGGCTTTGCCTGGTTTATTGCAAGCTTCCTGCCTACTCTGAAGCCCGCGACAAACAGGATTTTTGAACAACTTTCACAACAGTCAACAGGGTTAATAACCCGTTCATGACCATTTCTCTCAATTTGTTTTCTTCAATCTTTGAATAGTGAAAATTTAAGGACACGATGAAGGCTAAGAGTACATTAAATAAATGTCTTTACCACAAACATCTACACATCTCCCTAACAATCTCTTCACACGATTTGATACAAATATGGTTAGACAATTCTGTTCAAGTCAAAGAGAGACAAAAAATTCAATTTAGAGTCTAATGTCAAACAAAAAATTGATCACAATGACAGTGATGAAAACAAACTCTCCTCGGTTAAATATTTGTGCCCCCTCAAAAATAATGAAAGAATATTGATAAGGAAAATTAAAGGAGGTGAATTCAGATTGAAGTGAAGGCAAAAAAAAAAAATGAACCAAAAAAAAAAAAGAGAAAGGAAAAATATTCACCAGAATCAGATGGCGTCGTACTCGAGAAGTCCAGTCTGGTGTCACTGAGGGGGTAGGGGAACACTGATGTAGGGTCGACACATTCACCCGACGAAAAGTCGCCAGAGACTCCACCGGCTACTGACGAGTGGGCCGTAAGTCTACCGTTCTTAGCCGCCTTCTCTGCCTGCATCTGTCGCCGCCTCTCCTCGGCTTGAATAGCACTCCACATACAGTCTTGGATGAGAAAGTTCGATTTGTGGGAACCAATGTTAATTCTGGCAGGGCTAACGTTCCTGTGGGTGGTTGGTACTGTTGGCTTGTGATCGGGACCAACAAATGTTAAACTCTGTGTCATCCATACAGGCTCGTCTTCAAGAATCTCAGAGAGTACGCGTTGGAGTTTGTCAGAGTCCGCAAAGAGAGGGGCACTTATCCCCCCGCCCCCGCCGGTGTCCTCACCGTCGCTGCTGGGGTGAGATGGGCTCAGGGGTGGTGTGGGGAAAAACTCCAACTCCATATCGTCGAATTTCTTCCAGATGTCTTCGCTTGGCGTTGTCGAGTTGGGGGACGCAGCTGAGCCGTAGAACTCAACATCGTCGTTGATGAAACACTGCTTAAATGGGTCGAACTCTGAATCCACTGCCAGTGCCATTTTGCAGGTGATTCCGTGACTGGTGAGGTAGTGAATAACTTAGTTGCAAAATCTGCTAGTTGCAGTTATAAATCCAAGTATAAATTCCGATTAGAGTTTGACAAGGCAAATCCTGCAATAAAAGAAAAATAACATTTCAGTTAGAATTTATGATGATAAAAATTGGAAGTCGGCAAAGAAATAGCAACCAGTGCAATGCTATTTCGAGAACAGCTGATCGACCGCTTTGTTCACATGCCTAACTTTATGAGTGGCAAGGGTCGCACACACACACGATTTGCATCGGTGGTCTTCAAAGAGACCAAGCGAGATATTAAAGGTAGGCGGTCACAGTTGGGATGAACAAATCAAAATAATGTTACGACTTTAATCATGAAATTAAAACAATAAGATTAAACAAGGTATCATTCATATCTTAAGAAATAAATGTTTTCAAATACAAGTGTGCATTCAAAGATCATATGCAAGCAAAAATGATTAACGACTCGCAGTGCACAAGACACTGCACTGACTGTAATTTCACACACACATTATAACTGTCTGGGATGGTAGTGAGATTGAGATATTGCACTGTGCTGTGATAGACTAGATCTAGAATCTAGATCAATCAAGGCCAAACAAGATTAAAAAATTATTAAAAAATTACACAAGAACATTTGATTGCAAGTTACACAGCTAGTATAATCCACATAGATGTGGAAAGCAGAATTTAGTCCCCATCACAATTATTAACGTCTATGCTACCAAATAAAGATGAAAATAAGACGAGTTGATTTGTGAGAGTTGCGTAGTCCCGCACATACATTGAGGAGGAAATGAGAAGAGTTCATTCATTCTAAAAATCGCTGTACGTGAGCACATGAGACCCCGTATCGACGTGAAAACACAACTACACACAAGTGAAGAGAATACTTACGGAAATGTGCAAGAATATCCAACAACAGAAGCAAATTGACAAAGTATAATTCCAAAAACCCGACAAGGTTTGGCGATCTGCTGGTGAAACTACGCTCGACTCAGACAGAATGACCCAGACGAAGTATGTTCAGACGCAATATATTACTCTTGAGAAATACTACGGTACCGTGGACTATACGTATTACTCACAAGAGCATTATCGCACAAGCAATGCTTACATACATTACCCTTTTAAAAACCGCACCACAAGCGCTGAAGCTTGTATCGGCGCGCGACCGGGGGGTATTACTGCTATGTTCCGATCGATGGTGCGGACGTGATATTCATTTCCGAATCCAAGATAGCAGAAATTAGAAAATGTTTGAAATGTTTGAAAGCATGGAAAACATCTCGGTAGGAAATATTTTCGAGTCATGAGTGAGGAGCGATGGCTCAGTGGTAGAGCAGTGGCCTCGTAACCGGGAGGTCCCAGATTCGATAGTATACGTTAGTGCCCTTTGGTAAGGCATTATCCTCATTACCATAGTCCCTCGAAATTGAAATAAGAGAGATGGTTGGCATAAATGTAAAAATACTAGCACTAAAGATAAGGTAAAAGAAGAAGAAGACAAAAAAAAAAGAGAGATAGAGAAGCCATGTTTTAATTCCATTAAATTCGTCAAAATTCATTTTGTGTAAATACAATGGTAGACTGGTACACAACATTGTCAAGTTTATTCTGTCTCATTAACTAAACTTGCGAAGAAGCGATAAAGGATTACTTTACAAAATCTGGTAAATCACTTAGAGTCCAATACAATTTTCATATAACAAAATAACGATTGAAAAAAATATTTGTCTTATTTCCTAACGATCAGTAGTTTTCCTTTTGAAAGCTCTCTCAACGTTAAGAAAAGTTTTCATGTCGGTGGCACTATTAAATTCCACCTTACATCTAAAAATCAGTTGGTGTTTCCGTTTTATGGAAGATGTTTAAACCTGATACTTCCCTTTAAGCCGCTTAACAACACAATTAAGGCGAACGACATGTGTAATATGCGGAACACCCCCCGCGTACTATACTTGCGAGACAGGTGTAGCATACGGCCGTACAGTGATGATTTATTTTAGTCATAATTCCGTAAGCAGTTACTGAATTCAGCATTTTAACTTTTTCTCAACATTATTGAATGATAAAGAGGGAAACTTTCATACATTTATCGTAATTATTATTTAACTACGTTGTCTTAATCTCGCACACGATTACTACTCGCGATTTGTAACAAGGCCCGAGCAGGGGGCGTGGTGTACCAAGCCCGCGAAGAGCTCTGACCAATGAGATAACTGACTTTATTTAAGGGGCGGAGCCGGTACCGGCGTTTAACGCGTTACACTTTATGATGTATTCAGGAACCCTTATGCCGGTCTACTTGAATCAGCTGTTCGATGAGAACATAATAATACACATTTTGTCAATTGATGCAAGGATAGGCCAATATGTATACAACTCAAGTGGCTCTTTAATTTGGGCATATTAGCCAATGTATTTCTTTAAAATAATTATCAACAAAACAAACCATATTTTCAGATTTGTAGTAGAAACATATATTGAGGTATAAAACATGTTATTTTAAGGAGATTTACAACCGTTCCAGCACGTAAAGTCTTGATGTTACAATATTGGTCTAAGTTACGTTCTTCAGTAAGAAAATAGATTATAAGGCCTAAATGTAAGGGTAAATCGAAACAAATATTTCATTCTTTCGTGTGATTCAATCTATTTCGACACATGTAAGTAGGTCTAGTTAGGTTCACTACGATTTGTGATGGCATTGATTTCAGCGTGTATCGTAGAGTTAGGCAAAAATGCCGTGAACCTTAATTCGGCTGAAGTTGCATCGCGTCCGTGTGCAAACGTTGTCAACGCAATAGTTAAAACTGCCCCGGCGTATAACAGAGGTCTTGCTGTACTATGGTTGTATAGGCTCTAAAGTCAACTTGTCAGCGTTTTTTAAAAAATAAGTCAGATATCACACGAATGGATTTTAGTGCAAAAGGTACTATTACTGAGAAAAAATCTAATGAACCGTGTTGCCGAGCAAGATTAGGCATATTAATTAGTATTGGAGGAAAAAGTATTTGTCCAGCGAAAATTCATAGCCATGTCACCCAGAACTCTTCTGGTGGAAATGCTAGAAGTTGCTGGTGATCTGTTGGTGTTACGAGAAATTTAATGCCAATTTCTGTTGAACGGCTCATCAATTCCTGAAATCGTGGAATGGAAAACTGAACATGGTAAAAGTTAAGAAAAATACATTAGTTTTTAAGAATGAAAAGATATTATTGGCCCCTTTCTAGTTCAGGATTGTGATCTGTGTCTGAACTTTGTTTTGTGGATTACTAATTAATTAATTTGTCTGGTTATAGTTTTAAACGTTGTCAAGAAGGAAAATGTTTTAAAAAGTTCCACATTTTGATGGCGTTTCTGTGTTGGCAGCAATATTGAACCAGGCTACACTTGTCTTTTAACTTTGGAGTTTGTGGCATTAAATATTGGCATCCACTTTTGCAGAGTCATGGAAACACAAATGGCCCGGAGGGGTGGAAAAGAGGATTTAAAAACCGTTCACAATTGCGGATAATGCCCTTACGAATTTACGGCCGCACACATGTATAGGAATGGCATAGGCATTCCATCTGCCTTTTGTATTCATTCCGCTGTGTGTGAGAGCAAAATCGCGTGTGTACATACACAATACACAAACTCGGCGAGTCGGTACCACACAGCAGGGCACTGGACAATAGAAAGAGGAGAGATAAAACTTTAATAAAACACTTCGCATTTAACAGCAGGCAGGTTTGCTACCCTTTTGACGTAGCAAGCAAGTCTTTCGATTTAACTTGTTTGATTTAGTAAAGGGCCCTATAACAAGCACAGACAATTAAGGATTTATGTACACTAAATATATATTTCTCTCTTTTTTTGTGTTAACGAATTGTTGACGAATGAAATGCACAAACGGCAAAAGAAACTGCCCCTGTGTTTCCGGAAAGAAAGCATAAAGAAAGAAGACAAAAGTAAGGCACTTGGTTTGGACAAACTCTGCACTGCGTATTTACTTTAGAATTAAAAAATAGAAGTGTTTAAAGTTCTTTCGGGGTGTAATTTTTACTGATCGAGTAAGATTAAATTTCACGACGTTTGTCCCCTCACTCTTTCCCCACATCGTCAATTATTCTTTCCTTTTCAGTAATTGGTACATTATGCACCTATCAATTAATTAACTATGTAAGTAATTAATTAAGTAATTTATTCATTCGTTCATAGTGGGGTGGACTCATTGGCCGGGCAATTGCCCCGAATACATAATGCCCCCTTGATCGTCATCCATTGTAGGTCCTACCTACACTACAGGTCATGATTCAATTTTCCAACATTTTATTGTTAGAGGCCTTCGTAGCGAGCTTCGAACATAAAACATCACATACTTAGAAGTTAAGTGTGAAAATGATATTCATAGTACGGGCAATATATTAAGTACACTGCAACTATTATCTCGATTTCATAATAGCCTTGGAAAATCGGAAGCCATAAACTATTATTAATTGAGGTGGTAAATGCTGCTATGGAAGTAACGTAACGCTGTTCTACTTCCTGAAAGAATCGAATTACAGGAGCAAAGTCTAAAAGGTGTTTGATAAAGAGATGGTATAAGACAAAACAAAGAAAGGTATAATGAAAATCAACACACAGGAATCTGGTGATTGATAGCTTAGAGCAAGAGGTACAAGAGAGAGAGAGAGAGAGAGAGAGAGAGAGAGAGAGAGAGAGAGAGGGGGGGGGGGGGGGGGGGGAGAGGGGGGGGGGAGAAATAAATTTTCCTTCGAAAGTATATAGTGAACAAAATCTAGTCGGGCTTTTTATTTATTTTATTGCAGGCTTGTGTTTAGGTTTCATGGTTCGTGGAGCGTTCACTCCTGGCCATTTACTCAGCGTGCCAGGCATAGCAGCAATATACAATTATCAAAATGTCATGACCAAGAGTGCCTATACAACGCCAGATATCAACATGCTCCCATCCTGTTTAATAACGTTGTCATTGAAATCATTCATTACCCCCCCCCCCCCCCCCTTCCCATGCCTGTAACTCATGAAACGAACAGGCAGCGACTGTTTAGGCAAAATATGTTTCCTTCTTTTTACCTTTCAAAACAAACCACATTTTGAAGGAAAAAAATCAATCATAGGCCTGCACTCAGAACACAATATTCAAATACTGGGCAGCCTTGGGATAGCGGGCAACGGCAACGCTTAGTGGTTTACTGTAGGTAATTTGGTTAACAAAACCGGAAATTCTTGATCGTTTTTCCATGTACGGACAGCGAACCTGGGTATAGTGTTGAATTGAAGTGAGTGACCTGATTATGGGAATGCAGCAGTCGGAACAATTAAATGGTTGCGGTCAGTTTGACCATATTGACCATCACTGTAAAGCCAGCAATTCATTTGCAAACCATGATGATCATTAGGGGTGTTGTTATTTTGTTTTGAAATGATGAAAGGTATAGAATTTGCGTTTTCAGGAGCGCAACCAACAAGCCGTCGGAAGTCGGAGCGAACGACACATTCTTGCTAAGTTTGTACTGGCATGTTCTCGTTAGCATGGTAATAATGAAGCACCACCATCTCAACGACCACGGCCATCACCACCACTACGACCATTACCACCACCACCACAATTACTATCACCATGCACCGCCACCATCACCACAACCATCCTACGACCAATTCATTCCCACCACCACTCCAGTCCCACCATCACCATCACCACCACCTTTAGCACCACCAACACTACCATCGTCACCACCTCCATACCACCACCAACACTACCATCATCCCACCCACCACATTCACACCATCACTACCAGCCCTTTCTCATCATCACCACCACCACCCTTAACACCACCACCACACTTCTCACCATCACCACCTCCATACCACCACCACCACCATACCACCACCAACACAACCATCATCCCCACCACCACATCCCCACCATCACTACCACCACTTTCTCATCACCACCACCACCACCACCACACTT